AGAAAAGTTGAATGAGACAAATACATTGCAATATCTGCAGATAATTTTGATTTTACTTGTACAGATTTTCTAAACAAATTTCTAAACAAATCTTTGATAATTGACTTCTGTTTTTGCCAGATCCATGCCAAGAGAAGTACTGCGGAGCTGGTAAAGTGTGCCAGGTGTCAGCATCTGGTGAGCCTGAATGTGTCTGCATTCCTAGCTGCCCCATTGAAGTTGACCCACGCAGAAAGGTAACTAATAATTATTAAATTAATAATAAATGTAGTAGAGATTTAATTTAGGAAGATTCATTTTAAAGGGTTTTGTTTTTGTTGTAGGTGTGCTCCAATCATAATGAAACTTGGGGATCTGACTGTGAAATCTACCAGATGCGCTGCATGTGCGACCATGGAAGTGAGATGTGCAAGGGTGAAAAGTACAAGCACGTCCACATTGAGTATTATGGAGTGTGCAGAGAGATGAGAGAGTGCTCTGAGGAAGACATGTCTGACTTCCCTCGTCGCATGAGGGACTGGCTGTTCAACGTCATGAGGGATTTGGCTGACCGTGATGAGCTCTCCCCATACTTCCTGAAACTTGAACGTGAAGCTGAAACAAATCTAACCCGACGTTGGACCAATGCTGCCATTTGGAAGTGGTGTGATTTGGATGGTCATCCTGCTGATAGGTACAACATTTAACATTACAATTATGTTAAGTTTTGTAAAGGCAGTGATTCTATATCAAATTTTCCTGTTTCATAAAGATCTGTCTCTCGGCACGAACTCTTCCCAATCCGCGCCCCTCTCATGGCTTTGGAGCACTGCATCGCTCCTTTCCTCAACAAGTGTGACGCAGATGATGACCATTTGATCACTCTCAAGGAGTGGGGCAAGTGCCTCGAGCTTGATGAGGTAAGCAATTAATTAACAATGGTACTGATAAAGAGCAATACTAAGTGTTCACCATCACATTTCCCTTTTAATGCTTTGCAGGAGGATATCGAGGAGAAATGTGATGAAGTACGTGGAGAAGAGGAATAAAAAATATCAACCTGCCTTAGAGAAGGCTGTAATTTCCAACTTCATTATGTGCCATCTTTCTACATCACCAAGTCCGAGTGATGAGGACAACAACTGTTCACTGCCATTAATTTATTCAGTGTTGTAAACCCTTATGAAATTTAAGTAAAATAAATTGTCAAGTTATTTGTGAGATTTCAAGGAAAAAGCAGGTTAATATCCTAAAAGAATACATAATTTATAAATAAAAAATGGTTTTATTTGAAATCCATTTACATTGTGGCTCTTAATTTGGTTATGGATATGAATGAGATCGAAGTTAGAGCCATTTTGCAATTTTAGAGCAACTTTGTCATCAAATGAAATACAGTTTAAAAACAATGCGGATCAGTAAATCTATAATTCATCACACCATTTTACATGAAGCTTGAGTACACACCTAAAAAGGATGTAAATAATGAACATTCACAAATGATAATGACATCACGCGTCCTCTCACACAACTAAGTGCCTTTACAGAGCACTTAACGGAGCAGCATATAACTGCTAAAATGGTAAAGCACAAACACACCTCTCTTTCATATGACTCTGGATAAAGTTAACTTAAACATCCAAACTGAATAAGAATTGTAAAACACTAATAAATGAGGATGAAATTTTGACTCCCAACATCCTCTAAAGAACACATCCATGCAAAAACGCCCTTTCCAATCAAACAATATTCACAGTTGAAGTCTCAAGTTCCATATCATGGACTTACCCTTAAAAAGGGTTGACTAATTGAACACCATAGAACACTAGGAAAGGGTGAGAAGCACACACCGGTGACTGGTCCTCTGATAGTAAACAATAATCTTAAGCAGGTTTCTGGGATCCCTTCTTTCCAATAAGGGACTTGTGGATGTGAGGGATGACACCTGGGAACAAAGAAATTCAAAATAATTAAAGTAAATAGTTTCAAGAAGTACTCACGACCAGCTATAGGGGAGGGGGAGGGAGGTTGTCGTGTGTATAGCAAAGTGCACTACTGGGGGAAGCTGGCAGAGAAGACTGCCCTTCCGCGCGACCTGGATGTGTGAGGTCAGCGGGACTTCCCCCACCACCCCTCTCACCCCATTCCGGACGTGGAGCACGGAGGCTGCATCCCCGGCTGCACCGGCGGGAGCAACTGTGATCAAAAGAGAGAGAGAGAGGGAGGCGGCACGAACGGAGAGCTATGAAGCTGAAGTGAGCGAGAGCTGGTCCCAGGTCTCGATCCCCTCTGTTCTCCTCTCTCCTCTTCCCCACCGTTACCGCGGGGGGTGGGTCTCCGTGTAGCCCGGGCCTTCCCCGCCGCGCCTCCTCCCCGATCAATGCCTTTGGTGAGACGTTTTTGGCAGTCGGAGAATTTAGGCATGACTGCCCGCTTCGGCTTCTTGTTTCTGTGAAATCTTTAGTTTTGTTGTTGTTGCTGTCGTTTTGCCCCTTTTCGCCTGTGATGGAGGAGGGAAGGGGGAGGGGGGGCGTACGCAGGACGAGTGCACAACCAATGAACCTCCTCGCGGCCCGACCAGTGCCCCCCCCCCCCTTCGCCTACCGGCCTGCCTCGGCCGCTTGTTTACTTTTCGTTCTATTTTTGCTGTCCCGTGGAAACGCTATATGCCTTGCCCCTCCCACGTGTCCGTTTCTGACAGTGTACTC